AAAAAACTGGTGGTTACAAAAAATACTAAGGATGTGCATATCCAGTATAGTACAACCCACTGCCTCTGAGCCAATGCTGCGCCAATGCCTGGTGACATCGTGTCTGTGGCTGTCGAGCAGATAGCCACAGCCTTCTTATGTGGAGAGTCTGGTGGGTTTGAACCACTGACCTCGTGTCACTCCAGTGTTTACCTGACAGTGCCACAGAGTCCCTTGATTCAGTACAATAAGTACAGAAAAATATGAATATAGAGATACAAGTGAAATAGTGGAGATGGTTTGTTACATAAGGAAAGTATTAGTTTGTGAAATGATCATTTGTATTTATTACTTTTACTTAATATACAGGTAGGGTTAATTATATCTTAGTATTTATATAAAGTAAAAACCTTTAATTTTGGTAGCTAGTCACACAATTACCTATTCAATTTAAGAGTGGCTAAACAAATACATATTAAGGTAAATAGAGATTAATTTCTGGAAGTTTATAAATGGGAAACGTTTATTTAAGTCTATATTCAGTGTTAATGGTTTATTAATAAAATAGTTATAATCTATTACAAATTATTACATGAATATTATATTAAAAGGGAGTCGATTAGAAATTCACCAGTGAGCCAATTTTTCCTCGTGTCTTGTAAGCTATTTTACTCTGATTTCTATTTTAACTCATTCATTTAGCAAATATATATTGAGCACCTAGTAAATGCACGGGAATATAGCCATGAACAAAACAAAACTGCTACACTATGGAGCTTATATTCTAATTGGGAGAGTTGGCAATAAAAAGACAGTTATGCAAAATGTCAGGTGCATTATGTATATAGCTAAGCGAGTGGTGAAGGTTAAGTACTAGGATTCTTCCCTCCCATGATAGAGGGCCATGTTCAATTCTGGGGCCACACATCCCAGATATAGACAGCCACTAGCCATCGGCCACGTGGCTACCATGCTGGACAGGTTTCCGTGGAGCATCCTGGCTAAGACTTGGAAGAAACGTCAATTCTAGTTAGCCTCGTTTTCATGTGACAGGTGATGTTTTGCCAACGTGGAATTGCCTCTTGGAGCCTGCAGTGTTCTGACCTCAGGGGCATGTGCTCATCTCCAATCGCACCCTCCTTGTTCGCATCCATGTGATTGCTGTGGCTCTTCCAGCGCCTCATACCTGATCCATTGACACCTCATGATCACACAGGGAGGCCTTGCCTCCCTGCTAGCTGGTCGCTTGCTAAACAAATTCGTAAATGTCATACAGAGAACGTGTGTAGCCCTGAGAAAATGCCAGCGGGCCACAGTTTGGGAATTCCTTCGGTGATTCAGTGGGGATTTGGCAGTTGGTTCCCTTCTGCGTTCCTGGCAGTTCATGGAACTGATTTTCTCTCAGGAAAACGAGTTTTCCGGCATTTTGTGTTTCCTGGCCCATCCTGAATCTCTTTATCACTGGCTTATTATCTAAAGGCATTTAACTAGGCATGTTAAGGAGTACTGTAGGTGCAGTGGGCTGCTAACCGCAGCTCTCTGGTTCAAACCCACCAGCCGCTCCTTGAGAGAAAGGGGAGACTGTTGGCTTGTGTAAAGGCGTCTACTCTTGGAAAACTCTAAGAATCAGTTCTGTTGTGCTTTATAAGATCAGTATTGGTGGGAATCAGGCACATTTGGGTCTCTGCGAAGTCTCCTCTTTGTAGACGGCATCTCCGACTAACATTGACGTCGCCGTCTCAGAGTGACCGGCTTTCTACTCTCTAAAGGGCCTGGGAAACTCCCAGGGGCAGTTCGACTCAGTCCTATAGCTTCCCGGGTCGGCCTGGGGAAGCCCTATGGGGACAAGTTCTACAGGGTCCTGGAGGTTTGTCCTGTAGTCAAAAATCACTCCGTGGCAGTGAGGGGACTTTTGGCCAAGTAACAGCTGCACGACCGGGGCTACCCTTGCCGCTGTCCGGGCCTCTGGGGAAGGGCCGAGCCCCCTGCCCTGCGGAGCACAGGTGGCTGGGGGCATCCAGGGAGGCAGTGCTGGGGAGCAGCTCCTTCCCAGCTCGGCCTGATCTTCCTTTCTTTGACTAGGAGGGGAGCCAGGTCAGATTTTTTTTTTAATGAGTTATTTCAAACCTTACTGGGTGCTTTCAGAGGAGAACTGCCCTCACCTGACCCGACACTATTTCTGTGTTGAGGGCAGGCGGGTGCCAGGAGAGGGCAGGCCCAGAGACCCGCTGGGAGGCGGCTGTAGTAATTCAGGAGGGCGATGGTGCGGGGCGGGAGACAAGGTAGGTTCTGGGCAGTTGTTTGAAGAGAGTGCATATGAGCTCTACTCACAGAGGCGTGTCAGAGAGAGGTGTCAAAGGGACACTTTGAAAGATGGAGGTCCGTTCATACGACGTGCAAGTGCAGGAGAAGAGGTTGGAGAAGGAAATCATCGGCAGCTCAGCTGTGGAACTGTTGTGATGCCTCTCAAACTTCCAGGTGGAATCCGTCACTGAAGGGCTGTCTGACTGTGGACTGGCCGCTGCACGGCGCTCACGTGGAACAAAACGGCGTTTAGGAAGGAGAGAAAACACAATCGACAGCTCTCAAACTCCTGATTTTCTCTATATTCTCTTTCATGCTCTATCTTACAGACACGTGTTTCCCCCTTATTATTTGTAATAGTAAAAAAAAAAAAAGAAATTTGGTATTTTGTTAGAATCAGTTTTTTCCTGACGTAAGGTAAGTTGGGGCTAGGATTTAGTGTGAGCCTGTGTTAGACAGGGTTCTCTAGAGAAACAAAACTAGGACACTTATTATACGTACATGTATATATATATGTATGTATGTAGGAGGATAGATATATACAGCACGAAGGAATATAGCATCTAATTAGTCCACACAGCAGTATAGAGGGCTCAGTTCAAGTCACTTCCATGGAACAGTTAATATACTGGAAGTCCTTCAACTCAAGAGGGCTGCTGGATCCAAGGTCAAGGGAGCAGATAGCTGAGCCTTCCTTAGAGCAGGGCAGGCAGTCTGGCCACAGGAAGCAAACAGCAGGTCAGGTTACCTACAGTCAGCCAAACAACAGGAGCCAAGCTCAAGCGGTGTATACGCCAGCAGTGTGGTGAGGCAGGTCTCGAAGGAACCTCAAGCTCTAGTGACACGATCCATGAGTTGAGGCAGAGAACTAGCAGCCACATGCTGGTCTGATCCCACATGTTCTTATTGGCCAGGTTGGCACACTAAACCTATCATAGAGCCCAAAACCCATTCCTGGATCTATGCCTTTATTTTTTTTATTAATTTGCTGTAACTTGGGAGCCAAATACATACTTGCTTGTATATAATTCCTTAGTTCAATCCTGTCAAATATAATTGCCCCAAATTAAGAACAATCAGGTCTTACATCAGGGCCCTGCTCTATACTCAACTTCATGAAATGATTACTGAAAATATAAGGGTGTTACAGCAAAGTGTGGTGAAGAAAGCAGATGATGGCCAGCTATCAATCAAATTGTATCTGGGGTCTAAAAGGTTTGTAGTCAAACAAGCAGCCATCTGGGTGAGAAGTCAACTAAGTCCACCTAGAAGAAGCACACCAGCTTGTATGATCCAAAGATGACAACTACAAAATTCAAATTATGGTGAGAAGAAAAGTATCAGAGCAAAAATTATGAACACCCAATTTGTGGAGGGGTGTGGGGGATGGTGAGAGCCCAGAGCCCATCCGTAGAGTATCTGGTCAGACTGAGCCACCGGCAGATGTGCGCTAGCCACAGGCAAGAGTCTCAAGCAGCCTTAGTTTCAGGCAGAGCCACTGTAATCTTGTTTATGCTGCATCAAACTCGACACTTGGCCAGCTGACCACCCTGAACATGCGACCTGAATTTGTTCTGGGTGCAAGCATGTCTTACTGGTTCCATGACAGAAATTATTTCCCTGGCTTTTTAAATATTGCTGGGGATCTTTTCCTTCTTATCCATGATTAGTGTTTCTGTCTGTACACTTACTGTGATTTGGTTTTTCAATGTCCCCAGTAGAGTCTCTCAGCGGTGAAGCACAGGAGTGGCGGCATGATGGCTACAAGGGGATACAGGGAAGAGGGGCGGGTGGGGAGAGATAGGGAGGGAAAGGGGATTCCAGGAGTGACAAATGAAGACGGGATGGGGAGGGAGTACTAGAAGGATTGTGATTGCATAAATCATCTTAAAGGCGATTTAACTCTGGGAGAGGGGGGATGCTGTAAAATTGATGTGGGGGTGACTGTACAATTCTCATTGATATGACTGAATGATTGAACTATTGAATTGTATGATATGTAAATCACTTGCCAATACAACCGTTGAAGAAAAAACTAACAAAAACCATTTTCTCACATTTAAAAATAGGCGAAACAACCGTGTTGAAAGGCTGAATCTTTATAGAAAGGCTGAATCTTTAATGAGACCAAGATGAAGTTAGAAAGAAATCCTCCCACCGCAGGAACTACCGTACTTCCTGGGAGCCAGCTTTTGATCAGGGCGCAAAGCCCTGCACTTTTTCTTCCACGTCGGCAGAGGGCGCGCGGGCCGCGGAGGGGCCGCTCCGGGCTGCGCAGCGGACGCTCCTCCCGCCCCGCCCCGCCCCGCCCCGTCCCTCCCCGCCCTCGCTCCGGAAGTGGCTGCCGGCGTGACTTCGAGCGCTTCCCGCTGCAGAGCCGGCTGCTGAGCGGGCCCAGCGCCCCGGGAGCTTCACGTGTGTACCGCGCTTGCCATGAACCTGCTGCGAGCCGCCGCGGCCGCGGCTCTGGGGCGCAGGCCGCTCCCTTGGGTGCCCGCCGCGTCGCGCTGGCGGGGGAAGCAGGTACGTGGACCGGCGTGGCCGGGGCCACCCGGCGTTAGTCCTCTGACCCGCGTGCCATGCTTGCACCCCGGTCTGTGGAGGACGTTTCCCCAGCGCTGTCCCTGGGACCGGAGTGCCTGCCCCCCGACGCCCTCCCCCTGCGCCGCCGCTCGGTATCCTGGAGCAGCGGCTCAGCCCGGGAGGGCGGATGGACCCCACTGCGTGGTTAAGCAATGTGTCCTAAAAGGACAGGTGGCTCCAGTGAAGGTCGGACAGCTGACAATGTATCCGGGGCTCGAACCCAGGAGTTTGGACTCATTTTCCCGTGCTCTTTTCTGGATTTTTTCTTTTTCTTTTTTTTTTTTTGCGAGGGAGGGCCAGAGTGGAGCACGGTTAGGTAGGAGTTGAACTTTGCCTCTCTTGTAAAACTCGTTTGCTTTGTCCTCTGACATCCCCCCGGATTTGAACAACTAAGCACACAGATAAATTTATTTTACCCACAAGCCCTTCTGCCGTTCTTTCTCCCAGAAGTAGTTGCAGTGCATTTTGGATATGAATTGCTTAGATTATGTCCTGATTCCAAAGTTCACTCAGATTTAAGTTCACACCAATTCAGACAGGCTGATCTGTTTGGGGAATCCTCTTAAGGTAACTGCTTATTCCTTGTGAGATTTTGATTTAGCATCTGAAAATAGCCAGATCCCTTTTAGCATTTACATTTCGGATTATCAGTCAGTGTCATCAATGCCCACAGTACTAAGTAAAGAATGTGCACAGATCTTTATATTGGGAACCACTCATTTCCTGGGGGAAGGAGGAGCACTCCCGGCAAAAGTGAATGATTCTTGGGAAACAGGTGTTCGGTTCATAATCATTTTCTTTCCAGTCCCCAGTGTAAAAGTGTGTGTGTGTGTGTGTGAGTGAGTGATATTTTGACCTCTTTGTAGTCTCTCCTTTGTGCTGAGGGGCATTGTGGGTTCACACATTTCTTGCCAAAGGCCTTCTTCTCTTACAGGCCGAGAGATCTTACTCGTCCACACAAGGTTCCTTGGAGCAGACATGGCCACCAAGCCTAATTGGCCTTAGTCTTTACTCACAAAAAGTGTGTTGATTTGCGCACTCTCATATTTCAGGCTAATTGGAGGTTCTGCCGATGGTGCTCGTCAGGAGTGGTGCCTAATGAAAAGATACGGAATATTGGAATCTCGGCGCACATCGATTCTGGGAAGACTACACTCACGGAGCGAGTGCTGTACTACACAGGCAGGATTGCAGAGATGCATGAGGTACCGCGTGGCCGATCCCAAATGACTGAGAGCTCGGTTTGAATGGTTTTGTAGCTGTGATTTAGTGAACCTTACTGATGTAGAAAGTCAAAAAGAAAGAGCAACAGGGGCTCTTCACCCAGCGTCTCTTGTGCAAAGGGAACTGCTGCTCTGGGAGGAGATGGTCGCTGTGGGCATCCCAAACAAGACTCCACAGGTGGGAGAGGCACAGTGGGAGTACCTCATGAGTTTATGGAGCTTGGACAGGATATTTGGACCTGCATATTTATCTTTGCTGCAAAGATACCGGTGGATGTGGTGGAGCCAGCACACAGGAGGAGGCAAACCCCTTAGGTACAGCCAAACCTGAGGGAGGAGTGGCGGGCCTGGGGATCAGGACCATGCTGTTGGGAGACACCAAGGTCTGGTGGAAACCGAGTCGCAAAGACAGGTTCCATGTCCTACTTTGGTGAGTAGTAAATAGCGTCTTAAAATGGTGATGGGCCATCTGAAGTGCGCCCATGGGTCGCTTCCAGTCTGGAAGAAAGAAGAGTGGTGAAGGTTGAAAGGCATATGGACACAATTAGTGCACTGGACTGATGGGCCATGCATGCAGGAGTCTCCACAACCTTCAGGCCAGAAGAATTAGGTGGTGCCCAGCCACCACTACCACCTACTTTGACAGGGATCATTGGGGGGGAGGGGGGTACTGGAGAGAGTGGGAGAAAAATGTGGAATACCAAAAGAAGGCTTACCGGAGGGAGGGAGGGAGAGAGAGAGAGACACACAGAGACAGAGACAGACAGGTGGGAACCCCTGAGGCTATGGCTCTTACCCACCCTGAAGGTCAGGAACTGAACCCACCCTTGCGATTAGAATAAGCAGCCATTTAAGAGCAGAGCTGCAGGCTGTATCCAAGGTTTGAGGCTAGCACTGAGGGTGAGCAGAAGCAGGAAGCCCCGGGGAAGCCGAGTGAGGGAGAGTGCTTTGAGGGGATTGCAGTGGGTGCGCGCGAACAGTGTGTGTGTGCCTTCGAAAGAAACACTGGTGCTCTGCTCAGTAAACCTGCACCTCGTCCACAACAAGAAGTTTTAAAGCTATTAAGTACTCTCTAGAAGCCTTTAAAATAGCATCTATGGATACTTTTTACTAGTGTGGGAAATGCTTCATTAATTTAAATGGGAAAAAGGTTTAAAGTCTGAACTTAATAGGTGAAAAATAAATGTCAGGAAAAGTAACTTTAAAAAAATTGTCCAGTTTGACTGGTCATTATCCCCTTACTGAGTATTTAAATTCACTCTCTGGTTTACAATTTCTCTTCAGATGACAGTCATCTTGTTAAATCAAGTACTTTGGAAGCAGGATTCTTCCCCGTGGGGTCTCAGGATCCTTGGGGCACAGCTGGGAAAGAGAGCCAGCACTGTTGGCCGGCAGGTGGGCGGGCACAGCAGCGCTGAGGGAGCTGCTGAAAATGGCAACGGAAGAGGGGTCAGGGAGTGAATGTAGGGCAAACCCTACGGTACGGTAAGCCCAGCTGAAGCGGTCTGCGTTCTGGCTCCGCTTCTGGAGAGTGGTTCCGCCTTGGAGGCGGCCGGGACTCTGAAGCTGTGCTGTGCAGGTGAAAGGGAAGGACGGTGTCGGCGCTGTCATGGATTCCATGGAGCTGGAGCGGCAAAGAGGGATCACCATTCAGTCCGCGGCCACCTTCACCCTGTGGAAAGACGTCAACATCAACATCATCGATACTCCGGGTGAGTGGGCGCACTGGGCTCGCTGCGGCGCGTTTTTCCTGGGGCGACCTAGCTCATTTTTCAGTATGATGTATTCATGTCAGCCATCCTCACTCAGAAGACTGACAAGGGTCTCCTTGAGCACATCGTCCGTATGTGGTTTCTTTGACAGCAGTGGCAAGTAGGAAAATTCCTACGTTTGACTTAGCCCAGCTGATCCCCAAGACACCCATGCTGTTCTGGCAGCGATCCTTTGGGCCCTGGTCCTAGTATTAATGGACTAAGGAATCTACACTCAAATTAGAAAGTGTGCATAATGTACAGAGATGCAGAATTTCCCATTGTGCTTGGAATAAAGGCTTAGACTCCTTCTCTTCACAACCCTCACACGCTTCTCTGTCCCATTTAGGTCACGTGGACTTCACGATCGAAGTCGAAAGGGCTCTGAGAGTCTTGGATGGAGCAGTGCTGGTTCTTTGTGCCGTGGGAGGCGTGCAGTGCCAGACCATGACCGTGAACCGTCAGATGAAGCGCTACAACGTCCCCTTTCTCACGTTCATAAACAAGCTGGACCGGATGGGCTCCAGCCCCACCAGGGCTCTGCAGCAAATGAGGTACTCCTCAGAAAGAGCAGGTGGCGTGTGGTGATCTGGGCGCAGATCTGACAGCCAGGGGCTGATGAATTCACTGCCATTCAGCACTCTGCTTGAGTTTTTCCCTGTTAGCATTTATTTATGTGAATGCCTTACCCCAGTAAATGGAATGGGGAGGCCAATAGTTGATCACCCACGGTCAGTGAGTCTGACTCCTAACCACCCTATCCTCGGAGTAGAACTGCTCTTTAGGGTTTCTGAGACTTAAGTTTGTTTGGGAGCAGACAGGAGCAGACAAGTCTAATCTTTCTCCCACAGAGTGGCTGATGGGCTCGTACCACTGACCTTCAGCTTAGCTGCCCTTCCTTCAGCCTCTGTGCTACCAGGGTTCCTTGTTCGACTGATTTGACCTCATCAACTGTATAAAATGAGAAAAATAGAACTTAAACGGTAGGGAGGCGTTAGATGGATTCAGGAAAAAAATAGGTTTTATACTGTTTGGCTGTTGTTAGAGAAATTATTCAGGAGTAGATTCTGATAAATGGTCTGCAGTTTATTTAGACAAATCTCTCACGAAGCAAAATAAAACACCTCATTGTTGTTGAGCCGATTCCAACCCACAGGAACCCTGTTGACGAGGTAGAATGCTCCTGGGGGTTTCTGAGACTAATTCTTTACCTTAATACAAAGCCTCGTCTTTCTCCCTGGGAGCAGCTGATTGGTTTGAACTGCTGACACTGTGGATCACAGCCCAGTTCTCGATGTCTACACCGCAGGGCTCCTAGACATATGAGATTAGGATGAGGAGCCCTGGGGACAGCAGGATGACCATTGGGCGGTTAATCTCAGGCTTGGTCATTGGAACCCACCAACCATTCGTGGCAGAAAGAGGCAGCTGTTTGCTCCTGGAAGGATGGGTGTCTCAGAAACCCTCCACTAGAGCATCCTGTTGGTGCTCCCCTTCTCTTCCGGCATTGTGATGTGTGCCACGGAGGTGGTGCTCCCTTGCTTTCAGTGGTCGCATCTTTTCAAGGACAACACCACTGCTTTTCTGTACCTGGTGTAACCCTGCATTGTGGAAGCATTTTGCAGTTTATACAGCACTGTGTATTTCACGCAGCCTTGAGAGTCAGTGGTTCCCTGTTCCCCTTATGGAGATGTGCAATGGGGACCATGAAGTCCCAACTCAACTCGTGCGTGGCACAGCTCATGGGATAAGTGGACTAGGGTCGGAGAGGGATTAACTGCTGGCGAGAGATAGGATAGAGATTGAGAACCCTGCGGGCTAGCATCACTGTGAACACTTGGCTTGCACCGATTTCTCTGCTGGGTGTTGAGACTAAGAGTTCTCCCTATTCGCTTACATTTTTATCTTGCTTGGCAGTAGATAGATCCTTGCTGGCAAGGCTTTTTCTTCATTTTAGGAAGATTCTATTTTTGCTTATTTGATTGCTTTGGGTTTTCTTTTGCTATACCTCCTCTGTCTGTTTTCTATTTTGTAATCTCATTTAACCTGCACAGGCCTCCATAGGCGTGTTACTCTCCCACGCTGTTTGTCTCCTCGTACGCCTCCCTCTGAGTAACAGGCACGTTCTGTAGGCTGGGGATCCTCATTCGATAGTCATTTTAATTTCTTCTGTTACTTAAGTTTTTTGAAAAATTTATTTTCAGCAATTATATTTTTAATTTTCATAAACTTTTATTGCACCATCATAAAGAGAGAATTACCTCTAAAACCTTTATATTCTCTCATTTCCCACCCTGTTTCTTTTGAGGGTCATATTTCTTGAGTTCATGCCTCATTGTGAAGCATTTGATTGTTTTCTTCCCAAATATTTGGCCACTCTTACTTATTGATCTCTAGTGGAAGGTCAGAATCTGGAGCCTAGACGGGACACTGGGAGCGAGAGCAATTTCTTCTTATGTGGAAAAAGCCCGCTAACGAGGGCTGTCTCTAGGGGATGTTGATTGTGGGGGGCCCAGCTCCACAACTGAATGGGCCATCGGGCCATTGTGTAATTGAGGGGTAAATTAAGGAAGCATCAGAGAAGGCATGCAAGGGCTCACCTCTTCCTTGAAGACCGGAAACCAGAGGGGGTGGTGGTGAATGTATTCGCTCACAAGCTATGGGATCTCTGGCATGCAAGCCATGTCATACACATATGTAACAGGAAGGGGATGTATTAGGCATACACATGACAGGAAGGTACGTAACAAGATGGGCTGGTTCTAGAGTTAAGATGGTGGCCTAATCTTGACCATCTGTGAGCTGGCTTGACCTTAAGTGTCCCTGAGCTCTTCTCCAGGCGAACAATCTATGATCTTTATCAGAAGGGAGTGGGTTGCACTTAGGGAGGGATGGACAATAGGGTCTGATCGCCCTTGATGGCAGACAACCATCTGGCAAATGGCCTCCAAGCAGTTAACCTTCAAGTAGCGGCACCTTAAAATTGGCATTATTATGGGTGACAGTGTGGGGAGAGCTAGGGGGATGTGACTGGGATCTCCAGCTGTGAAGGCCTCCCTCCGTTAGAATCTGCCTCCCAGACGCCTCGAATAGGAGCGGAGAGAATTTGGCCGCATACACTGTCTTCGTAGTTCTCAGTTTTCCACAGTTGTTGAGCATCTGCCATGAACACCTGCCCTAGTGTTTTCCTACAGACACGCCCTCTTCGGAGAACTCTGTTCAGCTGGGCTAGAGGATCAGCTGGTCTACAATTGTGAGAGGCGGGCTGTTATCCCACCAACTTTTACGAGTCTGGTCAGCCACTCACTGACTTGATTTTTCTTCCTCTTCTGATTCCCATCTGGGGTATTGACTGGAAAGCAGGTACTTTGGAGTTTTGTCTTAAAGGAGCCCTGGTGGCTCAGTGGCTAAGGGAGGTGCTGACCAGAAGATCGGCAGTTGGAACCCACCTGGTGCCCGGTGGGGGAAAGACGAGGCTGCCTGCTTGTGCAGAGTACAGTACAGCCTGATGAACCTGTGGGGCAGTGTTACGCCGGCTGTCTGGTTGCGGTGCATCAGAATTGGCGTGAGGGCAGCAGCTTGTTTGGGTTGGTTGTTGTCTGAGTGAGGTGGCGGCTTTCTAGGCTCCCGAGTTTGGCTCCCGCTCCTCTCACCTGCCGATGACGCCTTCCCAGTCCTCCAGCCTCTGCTGTTAGTTTGTTTTTGTGCGGCTTCTGTCGTTTCAAAGGGGCTTGGGGAAAGAAAAAAAGGAGTTAAGTGTGGGTTTTCCTTTCCTCAGGTCCAAGCTCAATCATAATGCGGCATTCATGCAGATACCCATTGGTTTGGAAAGCAATTTTAAAGGTGTTATAGATCTTATCGAGGAGCGAGCCATCTATTTTGATGGAGACTGTGGGTAAGTGTTAACAAATATACTATTAAATTTTTGTATTTTAAAAATTATCCAAGTGAAGACATGTGAGGAATTTAAAAACAAAAGCACCTTACTAAAACATGTCTGGAAGACATATCTTTAAGATGATATTTTTTAAGGGCCTTAATCTTGTTCCTCACCTTTCTTAGTATTCACTCTGCTTTTGGGTAATGTGGGGGCTTCAGAAGGTTGTAGGGAAATGCCATTATCTTTTAATTCCATTTTTTCTCCACAAATATTTCGAAAGCCCTTCTGTAACCACAGTGCATTATGAGGAGCATGGGGGTGTAAGGAAACCTTCATTGGGGCTACACTGTATTATCTTTTTTCTACTTGTCCATTTGTTCATTCATTCTGCAAACTTTTGTGGAACAGCTGACTGGGTCCTAGGTATTGTGATAAAAATTGGGAAGAAAATAGGGATTATGGATCATAAATGTTTTTTATCTGCTGTGTTAGGTTGGGTTGTTTAGAGAAACAAAACCAGTGACACGCATTTATACTTGTATAAGGAAGAGCTCTATAGCAAGAAAGCACCCCAGCCCAGCCCCCCTCAAACCATCGGTCTGATGCTAGCTGGAGCCCTCTTCCGCTCCCAGGCCAGTGGGTGCAGGCTTCAGTGATCCGATGTTAGGTGGAATGTGGCAGGGCGCCAACAACTTGGCAGTTGGCTCCCGGGGTCAGTGGCTCACGTGGGCCTGTTCCTGGAGGCAGACAGAGCCCCAGCGAGGATGAAGGTGAAGGGCAAGAGAGGAAGAGAATTTCTCACTCTGTGTCTTAGAAAGGATCATAACTTCCAGGAGGCAGCTTCAGGCTGTGTGACCTGACTGATAGGTTGGACTCCACCCCTGTTGACCTAAAATCTGCCACATCTGCCCAACATGTTCCACAGGATTATAAAGATAAAAGTTAATATGCTAAAGCAGTTAAAAATTATGCCAGTGTGGCTGGGGCTGTAAAGACCATTGTGTAAAGTTGTTAAAATGACCTCTGGCAGAGCAGAGTGGCCCGGTAGATTTCCCAGGCTGTGAAGTTGACTGAAGCAGACTGCCACCTATTTTTCTCACAGAGAAGCCCAATGCTTAACCACTGTGCTGCCAAGGTTCCTAACATCCAGGGTTGGCCCGAGCAATTCGCACCTAGAAAGCTGATTGATGATGCTGATTATATTTAGATGGTCTATATTATCAGCTCCTAGAGAAATGGAGAATTGGATTCAAGATTGAAGAATCAGTCTGTTTAGTAACATTTTTCTACTATAATGTATAATGTGTTAAAAATTAATTGGGACTCCTATCGCTGTTTCTGAAGGCTTATCTATCTTAACTTTCATGTACTGAACAATCATGCATATACAAATGAGCATATGTGAATATAGCATGATTAATGAGATCCTGCAGTCTGGAACAAATTCAAGAGAAATGGTGTCATGTTCGTTGTCAAGAAGAACATTTCAAGATCGATCTTGAAGAGCACTACTTTGGGGTTAATCTCTATATACTTAGGCAAATTTATGAACAGTTCCTCTGCAGAACCTCTCCAGATCCTACCAGAGAAAACTGACTGCTTATTCCCAAAGTGTATATAAAAGTATACAGCTCATATTTTGCATTATAATTACCCACATATGTCTTAATTGTTTATGATAAATTCGCTGCAAATCAAAAAGGGACTTTAGCCCTGCCTACTAGGACTGCTATATGGTGGAGCCTTGAAAGTTACTTGAGTTGAATGGAAATGCGAGAAGCAAGGGAAAGGCCATTCAGCAGTGAATGAGGAACGGAAATGAACTTAATCTTAAAATGTCATTACATAGACTTTGGACTGTCCTTAAATATTGTGTGTGTGTGTGTGTGTGTGTGTTCGTTCACTGAACTCACACTTTTGAACAAAAAAGCAAGAGTCCTTAGAATGAGGAACTTTTAAAAACAACCATTTCAGAGACTACAAATATGGTTATATTGTGTTAAATTTAGAGAAGTTTCAGTCTTAAAGTATGGTTGTACCACACACACAAAGGTATCATTTGGGCTGGTAGGGTTCTTTGTTAGTGGGAACTGAATAGAGACAGGTCTTTAATCCTACTGAGTGGAGACTGATGATCTGATTAATCGGGTTATGGTTCATAGAATTTCCAAGAACTCAGAGGCTTTGGATTCAGTCATTGGCTTTGAATCCTTACTATCTCATGTAGTAGTAGTATACCCTTGAGCAAGCTTTTTTACCTGTTGGGATTAGTTTCCTCATCTGAAAATGCAGGTAAGAGAAGCTACTCAGATGATGTGGAACGTAAGTGAAATAACTTATCAAATATTGTTTAGCTTGTATTGTAGGTACTCAATAAATAGATTCTCAGTACTATGTGTGCTTGCCAATTTTCAAATAATTAAAAAGTAGTAAAGGTTATACTGTTAGCAACACTGAAAATAATTTTAGTCTTTCTTTGATTAGTTTTTTTTTTTTTTCCTTTGATTAGTTTTGTCTACTCAGGGCTTTGAACTTACAAGCACTGTGTGTCCATTGTAGGTAGGTAGAATAAGGATAAGCCAGTGTCCTAAGTGGGAAGAATTTTGTATTCCATCGTTTATCGGTATTTTTTGTATAACCTTACACATAGAAAAATAGAATGTGATGTGTCCTGCAACACTAGAGATCTTTATTCCTCACTGTAGTGGAATGGTTTTATTTTGCCCATTGTCCTCTCTGGATTTTTAAACATATGATTAGTGCTGTTTACATTTTGCGGTAAATATGTCAGAGCTCTTTCTTATCTTAACACATATGTTGTAGCCTTCAGTCTTTTGGTGCTTTATAGGGTTAATTGACTCACCCTGAAGAAGCAACACGCATCCTTTCTTTTCTTAGCCAGATTGTTCGATACGACGACATTCCGGCTGAATTCCGGGCAGCGGCCGCAGACCACCGGCAGGAGCTGATCGAATGTGTTGCCAATGCAGATGAGGATCTTGGGGAGCTGTTCCTGGAAGAAAAAGTACCCTCAGTGTCTGACATAAAGGCAAGTGCTCCCAAAATCAGCCTTATGTTACGAAAGAAAATGAATTAGTTAACCGGAAAAGGGCACGATGGGTTTACATTTGGGTAAATTTGTTGTAATGTTTCTTTGGAGAATATTTGACAGGGCTTGTGACTTTTTGTATTATTTAAATAGTGAGCTACATGATATTTTTAAATGGAAAGGAGTCATAGTTTGCTTTAGGGAAAATGTACTTACTTAACCTCTCAAGTGTATCTGTATTAAAGAGGAAGATAAATACAGAAGTGCGACAGTAATGAGGCAGGTTAAGACACTAGGCTGCTAAGGTTGCATACTGAGTGTTGGTACTTGGACAGCTGTAATATTTGGAAAGCTTTGATTCCTTTATTGATTCTTGAGCTCCTTACACAAAAAAGAGAAGGCCCCTGCCTAAGAGTGGTCCTCATTTACTGAGCACTTGGTGTCTGTAGTAGAAGGCAGGCAGCTGTGTAATTACTGCAGGGAAGCCCTGCACTCATGGAGTGCAGCAGACCAGGTGCACTTGGTGTCCGTAGTAGAAGG